TTGTTATATAGTATATATATATATGTATACTATATATTTAAAATATTTTATTAATTTAAAAATTTTGGATTAAGCGTGTCCCTTTATTTCGGCTTTAAGAGTTGACAAGTTTTAAAAGCTGAAGAAATTTGCAATTCATTTTTTTTTTTTAGTGAATGTGAAACTACATATGAGCAACATAAGATAGGGTTGAGGTGTTGGATATGTGAACTATAGGTAACTTGGTGGTGTGAAATTGGTTGTTATATTATAAAATACCTAATTGGCCTGAAGTTAAAGGCGAAAAACTTTCATTTTTGAATATCTTAACTAAAACTCTCAAATACTAAACGTGCTAGATTCTCAGTGCTCTTTGTTGTCGGAAAAGTCCCGGTCTCATTGTCTACCTCTAGCGATAGGGGCGGAGTGGGGCAAGAACGGAACAGAACGAAATGGGAAATGATTGTCTTTAAAGTATATATTTTGCTCCATGTATATTTTATGACGAAAAATGGGCTGCATGAAATTGTGCCTTCACTATATTGTGATGTATACGACATAGTTAAATGTAAGGGCTTCATCAACTTTAAAGCAAAGATTTTGCTATTTTTAGACTGATGGCTTGATAAAGACTTATGATAATTTAATTATTTTTGAGAAGGAAATAATATTTATCTCCTGTTTGAACCATATTAAAATTTTAATTATCATTCTTCTACTCATTTTTAATCACACATTTTTCAATAAAATAATATTTTTCATCACAAAGATAACTTTTTCTTCTTTTTCAACCACACATTCTCTATCAATATATTATTTCAAAATACATTCTTCCAAAATAATATGACTCAAACACACCCTTAGATATCAAAGCAATAATTGTGATGTGGGACAACTAGCGTTGGAGTGGTTTGGATGGGTGGGTTGTATTTTCAGGGGTGGGATAGGGAAGAAGGTGAATAGTGTTACCTTTTTTATGAAGTTACCATTTTGCCCTTTGTTGATTTGATCAAAATAATTTTTTGGAGTCAACTAACCGTCAAAGTAACGGTTTCCATCCATTTGGACTTGAGTTGTGAATGTTTTCAAGGTTTGGTATTCATGGTGGTACAAATGAAAGGTTTAGACAAAGTCTGCCACTAAGTGAAAGGTTTGGTACCATGGTTGCAATTTTCCCTATTGTTTTTACTTTTTAACTGAAGAATTCAAATACCACCATAAATTACGTTGGAATTAATTTTATATCCAAAAGAGGCGCTAATTCAAAAAAAGAAAAAAAAAAACCACAGAAGAGGTCCGCAGCAACGATGAGGAAATATAAGGACTGTGTTCGTCAAGAAATTGCTGACGGCAAGGTCTTTTTCTATAGGATAATGCTAGAAGTACATCACCATCTACATAATGGTGTACATAATGCTAATGTGTCAATCATCCAGTCATTGATGTGTCAGTGTCAAATTTGAATTAAAGGTCGGATGATTGCCACATTAGCATTATGTACACCATTATGTAGATGGTGATGTACTTCTAGCATTATCCTATAGAAAAAGACCTTGCCGTCAGCAATTTCTTGACGAACACAGTCCTTATATTTCCTCATCGTTGCTGCGGACCTCTTCTGTGGTTTTTTTTTTTCTTTTTTTGAATTAGCGCCTCTTTTGGATATAAAATTAATTCCAACGTAATTTATGGTGGTATTTGAATTCTTCAGTTAAAAAGTAAAAACAATAGGGAAAATTGCAACCATGGTACCAAACCTTTCACTTAGTGGCAGACTTTGTCTAAACCTTTCATTTGTACCACCATGAATACCAAACCTTGAAAACATTCACAACTCAAGTCCAAATGGATGGAAACCGTTACTTTGACGGTTAGTTGACTCCAAAAAATTATTTTGATCAAATCAACAAAGGGCAAAATGGTAACTTCATAAAAAAGGTAACACTATTCACCTTCTTCCCTATCCCACCCCTGAAAATACAACCCACCCATCCAAACCACTCCAACGCTAGTTGTCCCACATCACAATTATTGCTTTGATATCTAAGGGTGTGTTTGAGTCATATTATTTTGGAAGAATGTATTTTGAAATAATATATTGATAGAGAATGTGTGGTTGAAAAAGAAGAAAAAGTTATCTTTGTGATGAAAAATATTATTTTATTGAAAAATGTGTGATTAAAAATGAGTAGAAGAATGATAATTAAAATTTTAATATGGTTCAAACAGGAGATAAATATTATTTCCTTCTCAAAAATAATTAAATTATCATAAGTCTTTATCAAGCCATCAGTCTAAAAATAGCAAAATCTTTGCTTTAAAGTTGATGAAGCCCTTACATTTAACTATGTCGTATACATCACAATATAGTGAAGGCACAATTTCATGCAGCCCATTTTTCGTCATAAAATATACATGGAGCAAAATATATACTTTAAAGACAATCATTTCCCATTTCGTTCTGTTCCGTTCTTGCCCCACTCCGCCCCTATCGCTAGAGGTAGACAATGAGACCGGGACTTTTCCGACAACAAAGAGCACTGAGAATCTAGCACGTTTAGTATTTGAGAGTTTTAGTTAAGATATTCAAAAATGAAAGTTTTTCGCCTTTAACTTCAGGCCAATTAGGTATTTTATAATATAACAACCAATTTCACACCACCAAGTTACCTATAGTTCACATATCCAACACCTCAACCCTATCTTATGTTGCTCATATGTAGTTTCACATTCACTAAAAAAAAAAAATGAATTGCAAATTTCTTCAGCTTTTAAAACTTGTCAACTCTTAAAGCCGAAATAAAGGGACACGCTTAATCCAAAATTTTTAAATTAATAAAATATTTTAAATATATAGTATACATATATATATATACTATATAACAAATTTTTTTTTTCATCCCTGCAACACTGAAGTCTTGTGTAGTTTGCTAAACTCGCACGCCCTGAAGCCGCCTCTACTTAAGAGCAAAATGATATTAAGTAAGCGAAGAATCAGGGTCATTTCTAAGAATTTTGAGGTCCAAAGCGACTCATTATTATGAGACTCCTAAGCGTAATTTTTTTCAAGTGTAAAGATAATTAAATAATATATTTTTTATATTTTTAACGAAAACCTGGTACAATCCAAAAGATAGAGTAGCCAAAAAAAAAAAAATCAGACTAGGGTAACATAATATTTAGCAAAATTTTTTCCTAATATTTTAAGGACTTTGATTCAAAAACCTTTTAATAATTTTGAGATCTTGAGTTATTAAAGTGAAAATAAGTTTCAAAGAGAATAATGTATTTGGATCAAATGAATATTTATTTGAGGATCGAAAATTATTCTACCAATATTGAACTCATTTCGAAACTCGTAAAAAATAGGGCATTGTGGACTCAAGAAAATGTTAATTTGGTTAAACAAAATTGTAGTTATAACTCATTAAACTATCTAATGTGTAATATTAGTTTTCAAATTAAACCATATTACCATAACAATATTAGACTCATTTGGTAGCTCATAATTAATCATGAATATTAAACTTGAAAAAAAAGTTATTTTGAATAAGCTCAAAGATTTAAAATCGATAAAAAATTATAGTTAAATGAATTTTTAATTAATTCATTTGATCATGTAGTTGAGGCCCCTTGGCCTTTGCCTAGTTGGCTTGGCCTGAGGGCCGGTCTTGCAAAGAATACATTCGTGTTGTATTTAGTATGTTAGATTGAATTGAATCAAACTCGTTCAAAAAAGATTTTCATTCAGTGTTCTATCTAGTACACATGAATTCAATAGAAAACTTCTTTATTAGTCTGCCCTGTGGACAATTCAAAGATTAAAAAAGCACAACAAAAGAAGCAAAATAGTGAGCAATTTGAGTGAAAAGTAGTAACATTCTTGATCAAGACTTAGCAAAAGACTAATGGATCTTCACTTCTTAGATTTCCTTGTCCTGTCCTCTTGCAGAAAGTCAAGCAAAACAGTGCTCTTACATTTGGGGCATTTCGGGTCCTTTTCCAATAGCATAACATACATGAGACATCGAGGACACCCAACCAACATCATCGCAGTCGCCTCAGGGCTGCGCAGAGTCTCGTCCGAGCTAACTTCCAGGGACAAACATGAACTTGGAGATGATATCTCTGCAGATGAAACTGATCGATTGGGAGATTCAACATGAATATATGCCCTTGGTGGGGACAAATTCAGTTTCAAATCAAGCTTTGGACCGTTGGCGTTGTAACTCATTTTCTTGAATACCACTGTAGACAAAACCAGAATAAAAGAATCAGGAATATGATAAGAATTTAGTTTAGTCAACAAGAAATTATATATATGAGGAAGGTAATCAATCAAAAAGTAAATCAAATTTAGTTAGTCATCAAGAAATTATATATATGAGGAAGATAATCAATCAAAAAAGTAAATCAAAGTCAACATTACCGTTAAGTAGGCAACTATTTCTAACCAAACTTCGAAATTTTGAGGCTGAGATTTTTCGACCTTTTAACAGAGAAAAACTGAATATAACTCCAGAAGAAGTTTGTGATGGTTCTTTCAAAACTTCAAGGGAAATATATATACATGAGAGAGAGAGAGGCTCAGAAACATGCAGTAAACTGAATTGAATTGAATTGAAGTGTAAAGGAGGAAAGTGGAAGTACATAATTTCATATATTCATTGTCTGTGAAGAAACGCAAGAAATTTGGTGGCAGTGTGCAAATTAGAGTTAATGTTTGCAACTAAAATCGGCTAATATAGCTTCATTCATTGCTGATAATGTTGGTTTGCGTATTACATGCAACAGGTGTAGTTAAAATCCCATCAAAGGCTTTTAACTGCCATCAGCTTCACAATTTTTTTCATTAATGAACTCATAAAATATTCACCCTTTTAGTAATACATCTTTGTTGTGTATTTACATTCATTAACGCCATAAGCCATAAGCTAAGAAAATTATATAACGAAGTCGACAAGAAAATAAACATGCAAATAATGCTCTCATGGTACGATTATATAAACGTCAAAACCCGGACATAGACATTTAAACAGTATGTATTCCTCCATATTGTACATATAGCTTGCACAAACTGTCCACCATAATGATTAATATTGTGCAGTAGTTCAAAATGTGTTTATGATCTTTATTATCCTTTGCCTTTGTGCATTTAGTGTTGTGTATGTACCAAAGTACATAGCCACTTTCTGGTATTGTTTTAAGGATGGACTTTGATTAAGGCTGCGGACTACATTGTAGGTTTGAGTTGCAAAAGTTGCCTCACGGCACTCAACATTTCATGCTCTAGGCGTGCCACAAAAGCTCGACAAGCATGTTCAGACTAAAATTCAAGACAGAAAAAGTTAAAAATACTCGCACATATCATAGTAGTTGAAAGTTGTCGATCAATGAAATTAAATCCAAAATATTCGAAGTAATCAACATAATATCATTACTGGAAGAGTTTAAACCAAAGGGTAGTTTTACTCATCATTTTACACGGGGAACGTTTTGCTAAGAATAAGCTCTCGCATCGATTAATCCAAGGAACAAGTCATTTTACCTTGCTTTTTTTCTTTTTAATCACAATTTTCCCATTTTTTCCTTCAAGCTTGTGCCTAATGTTACAAAATATGGGAATAGAAGATCGTTAGCTACCACTTAAAAGCATAGCCTTCAACACAACTTGTGCTAATTATAATTTCATCATTTACTTCAGATTTATTATTTTAGCTCCATAATATTTGTAGCTGGATTAATTAAATGTGACTTAATGAAGACCTAATACGAGTAACAATAATAAATAATCTGGTAACTGCAATGAAGCAGTAAGACGAAATAAAGTAGCCAGATGGCACATTATTACCTTGTCATTAATATATATTTATGACTTGCCTATGTATTTAGTTCAACTAACGTCATTACTGCATAAGCATGAAATTTCCTAGATTGTGCTACCACATCAACAAAGGGTCATTGATTTTGCAAAACCGCCTCCTCCTCCTCCTTTTTTTTTTTTTCTGAAGAGTGAAGCTATTCAACACCACTAGCATCATGCATCGGTTTAATTGACAACTGCATGACATTAAATGATAGACTCGCTTAAATACAATATCACATAATTTATTTAATGAAACCTATCAAGTATGACCACCTACACTAGTTTTGGATAACATTAATCTTTTTTGGAGACACTAGTAATAAACACTTGGGCATATGCAAGTATGAAGTCTAATGTAACTTCCAATAGCATTAGTTTTGTGGGTTCCGCTAGTAAAATGATTGATGCAGGTGATGAAAGAAACTGAGAATATTTCAACAAGAAAGAAGCACCTGAGATGTCATGCAGCTTGGGTGATGAAAGCATTGCTAATCACGGATGTCACTCGAGATGTCTACGTCGCACACTTAATTAATTAAGAGAAAGAAAACTCCAAACACGATACTGGAGAAGTAATTTTTCCTTCCTCAAATCTGATCCATTTCTGCTGATTTGACCCTAAAATAAAGCTTGAGATGTGACTCACGATTTACATATTGAAGAATAGACATTTTTCATAATCACTATAACAAAAACAGCATACGGCAAGAACGTTGCCGTAGACCTTTTGCAACGTTTGGACGTGTGTTGCAAATCAAGGTGTTGCAGTAGAGCAGGACCCCTACGGCAATGTTTAAACCGTTGCCATAGTTTTTTTTTAACAACAATTTATGCAAATTGATTGGCAAAATTAAAAATGAATCCTTATGAACAAATTTTGGAATTGCATAAAAATTGATAATTTTATTACAAATTTTTGAATCCATAAACTTGAATATTAGAATGTGATGCAAAAACACCTAAATAAAAAAGAGTTTCAAAATGATATAAAATGGTAATACATCAAAGGACTTCAAGTAGAGATCCCTAATCTATTGGCTAGTGGAACAGATATTTCCAAAGTTTAATCAGAACAACCTCACGCCACTATTAACTCCAAAATGTAGCTGAAAATAAAGTAGTAGGGCGAGGGAAAAAAAACCTTAGCATGTTATTGTAGAAAACACAGTAAGTTGTCATCAACTTCAAATTAGACATGACTTTGAGTTCCGGGTTACAGAAAAATATATATTTTAAAGCCGAGAATTATGAAGGATGAGTATCACTACTTTCTCTCAAATAGGCAAAAGAACTTCCCAATGCCACCTACAGAAACAATTCTCCGAACTTAAAAATCATTTAGCTTCGAGTGAACAAGAATTACCTTTCCTTTGTATAATTAATAATAGATTTTCAACCAGAATTCACCCCATTTTGTCGGGGATCCTATAAACAAGGCTAAAAGGAGGGACAAAATGAGCAACTGACCCAAATAACTCTCCCAGAATTCATCACAGTTCCATCCTTAATCACAGAAGATTGCAATGTTTGGTATAAGGGAACAAGAGCACCCTGTCCCGTAGTTTCAGGAATTGTGCAACTACCAAGGATTAGCCCTTTTGGAAATCTCCCTTCCTTCATGTAATCTTGAAGATTATTAACAATTGTCTCAGTTGGATTTTCCACTACTCCATGAAATTTTTTAAATCCTATCACATGGATTGCTACTAGCGAAGCAGGCCCTTCAAACCCCATCTATCGACAATCGAACGATCTAACAAAGTCAAAACACGAAATGTACCAAATTTATTTAAATACCTGCACAAAAAAAAAGTCAAAGAGACACAAGACTTTTTTTCCATAGAACTAACAACACAAAGCAGGAAGTAAAGCCTCCAAATCATGCTAACAGAATCAGAAAAAACTATGCTTGATGAAATTGAAGAGCAATAAAGGAGAAACCCATTACTCTTAAACCTTGTAAGAATTAATACAGAAAGAATTAACTCTTTGGTGCAACTCTATGATGAGTTTCAGATATGATCCTACAAAACTAGGAGAAACCATGTTATAAAAACAAGAGTAAAGAAAGAAAAATTCTAGTTATTAGACTAAATCTGATCAAGCACTTAGTAGAACCAAAAACATATTGATGAAATTAGGCACAGAAATCATTCATGGATTTTAACTGTGTTTTCTGAAGAGTTTAGTCTCAAAGACAGAGACTTCATCTGCTCGTACAAATTATCAAGAGAAACTGATGTTGTAGAGAATTTATCTTCGAAAAATGCCTTATCCTTTTCAGCTGAGAATTTAGAACTATACTCAGTATAACTTCAAGCGTGAAAGTGACAAATGATTACAATGCCTTTATCTATTTGAATAGTTAGGAAAGGCAAAGATTACCAACTGTCTTCTTTCACATTTCTTAGTAACCAAAAAGCAGCTAATTCGACCTTTAAACTGACCATTAATCATTTAAAAAAATAAATATTAACATAAAAATTAAATTACTAGTTTTATTTAAGTGATGAAATTACTAGTTTTCAATATCCATTACGCAATTAGTCCAAGCCAGAAGCTCAAAAGTTTGATGTAACGAACAATTAATTAGAACTATATTTCACAAAAAAGTAAAATAACAAAACTGAAAAATATAAACAATTCTTGATTTATTACACACCTAATCATGAACCTGTATCATTCTTCTCTATTTGAGAAGAAATCTTAACGCCTAAAGACAAGTCTTTTCGAAGTGCTACGGAAATCTTCTTGAACTCTTGAACTGAAATCCATGCATCTTGGAGTGCGATTCTTCATTGAAATGAACCGAATACCATATTTATAGGTTTCAGGAATTGTCGTAATGCTCCTCAAATCTAGAATATCAATGCTTTCAAGGTACTGTTAAATCACAATTCTGTTAACCCACGTCAAAAACATGACAATCATATTGTCTACCTAGAAGTAAGAGGCAAATTTTGGTAGCTCCAAGCTGTAGGCAAATAGCAATCATATTGTCTACCTAGAAGTATGAGGCAAGCATCCATAGGAAGAGCATAAATTTAAGCTCATCTTCATACTTTCCAATACAAAACCAGGTTCAAAATTTTCAGTTCATTTTCCCCTCTTTCTCAAACCAAAAACTGTAAGATTAGGATAGCAAATGCACACAAGTTTTAACTTTTCCATCACGTCAACATTATATTTTCAACCACTAAGCCACACTTCCTTCCCGTTGACAAATATGAAGTCCTGAAAATATTGTTCCGCTTCCATTGGTTAACCTTTTGGACAATCATCAGGCTTGCAACCTTTTTCGTCAATTGCCACATATTCCTCTTCAAAGATTGGCTGATTTTCTTATTGTCTCGCTCTTCCTTAAAATGATTAACATCAACCCTTTTTAGGGGCATTAATGATACCTGCGACCAATTTCACCATGCGAAAATACTTAGGAACCGTTTGGTTTGTGTTTCAATTTTCAGTTATCATTTTTTTTTAAAGATGGTTAAAAATGCGTTTGCTTTGTCATTTTGAAAAATTATTTCTCAAAATAGAAAAAAAAAACACATTTGGTTTGAAATTTTTTTTTTTAAAAAATGTTTTATAATATTTTATTTCATTGAAAGCTTTGGTCTTCAAATTGCTTTGGTAGCCAACACCTTTGTCTTGTTGTGAGAGAAATTAGAGTACATATTCACTAATTCAAAGCATCAAGAGAAACAAATTGATAAAGGTAGGGTTAAAAAACTTAATTTGTACATTTGTTCTTCTTTAAAGATGTGGTTTTGCATTAAACGAGAATAATATGAGCAATATGAAAATAATGAATGACAAAAAAAAAAAAAAAGATTTTTGTGGAAGAATATGAGAATTTATTATACCAAGAAATTAAAATTGTCTTTACAAAATTTGATTATCTCAATCTAAATCTAAACAATTCTCTCAAGTTTCTAATATATACAACAATGATCTAATTGTTTTCCTGAGTTTATGAGAAGCCTACACCTTGTGAAGTATATATAAGAACCCAATCTTGGAGTTATAATGAAGTAGAGCACAAGAATTAGGGTCAAAATCAAGTAGGAATCCTCTTCCAAACCCGTCGGTGGCACTGTGGCGCCCATCCCCTATTTTGTTCCTTCACGCTTGGCGCCTGACACCCTCAGTTTCATTTTTGTCCTTTCAAAAGACTTCTTCATTGATCCCAAAGTCTTTATCCCAATCAAACTCTCAATTCATGATAATATTTGATCTTTTATCAATCTGAACTTCTAAACCAAAATTTTCTAGGCTTATTCTATAAGTCAAACTTCCAAATCACATGAAATTTGAGTTACAAACATAACAAAATCTACCTTGACACAAATTTCATAGCAAGGAATTAAATCTCCATTCTTTAAGTCATTCTACAACTCTTCCATCATGCCCTGTCGGGCATACTCAATAACTGTGAAATAAATCCAAGTCCTACTTACCTGTAGAACTATCTTGCACGCCAACTTTGTTTGAATCATCCCATTCACTTCCAGCTCTAGCTTCAACTCCAACCGAGTCGCCAAATCTCTTCAAATCAACACGAGCAATACCAATTCTACATGAGTTGCCAAACCTGCTCGAATCACCACGAATACCATGATCAACAAGAGCACAGCTAGTTCCACCTGAGCTACAGGAAGATTCGCCAATATTATTGTTCTAATCACCATGAACAACCCAATCACAATAATCTCTACCCAAGTTTTTGCATAATGAACCATAAGCTGCAACTACATCCATAGTGACTGCCGAACCTTCTAACACATATAATCGGGACTTTTTTGCCCCCCTTAACACAACCCGGACACCCTTAATGACTTTTAGAACTCCACTTCTACCGGTATAGATATACCCTTTTGAATTAAGAGTACTCAAAAAGATTAAATTCCCGTTTATACCTAGAACATGTTGAACCTAGCCAAGTGTTCTAATCATCCCATCAAACATCTTGATTTTGACATTACAAATTTCAACTATTTTACAAGGCTCATTATTTTCCATCATCACAAAATCCCTTGTAGCCGTTTCATGTGAAGACAACTAATCCCGATTTGAACATATATAAAAAATGCAAGCCAAATTAATAATCTAATCCTCGTCATGTTTGAAGTCCCATCAGTAATTGCCAAAATATCTCCATTACTAGCTTTTTCTACAAGATTGGCATTACCAAAAAATTTTGGTTGTTCCTTCCTTTTGATCTGCAATAGCAAACCTGTTATGCCACTCACGTCGATCTCTCTTCATATGTTCCTTGTTGTTATATTACCATCATACTTTATTATTGTTGCTATCATTGACTTTGATCCTTTCATGACCACCCGTCTTCCTCTCACGAATAATAAGACCATCTACTTGGGTCTCAGAACCGACTACCAGATACTTCATCGTTTCCTTAGAATAAAGCGCATCATAACCTCTTCAATAGTAAGAGTATCCCGACTATAGAGAATGATTTCTCTAGAAGTTATATATGAAGGTGACAACAAACATAACAATATCAGGCCTAAATCTTTTTTCATCATATTTGAGCTCTATGGTTTCTAAACCAGTGATGATTTTCTTGAACACCGATAGATAATCTTCGAAAGATCCAACTTCCGTCAAGCGATGAAAATACAAACGCTGCTTCAAGTGTAACCCACTTGTTAAGCTCGTTGTCAAACAAAGTTTCGCCAATTTTAACCACAACCCAGCGTCACTTTTCTCATTTTCCACGTCCTGAAGAATTTGATTAGAAATGTGAAGATGTATATGTGATAGAGCTTTTCGATCTTTGCATTGCTTCTCATCCACAGTCATTGTTGAGGGCATTCTATCTATCCCCAATAAAGTATCATCAAGATCCAGTTGAGTAAGAACCAATTGCATCTTGATTTGCCACAAAGAAAATGTACTATTGTGATCCAAAATTGAAATCTCGAATTTCATAGTTGCCATCCCTAAAACAATTGACCCTATTCAAACCTCGCTTTACTAACCAGTTTGGACCTCCCAAGAACCCGCCAAAAAACCTTCAGCTCTAATATCACTTATTGTGAATTCAGCGATATAATTAAAGATGAGAATAATATGAAACTAATGGATCACAAAGAAAACAAGATTATTGTGGAAGAAAATGAGAATTTATTATACCAAGAAATTAAAATAGTTTTTACAAGATTTAATTCTCTTAATCTAAATCTAAACAATTCTATCAAGTTTTTCATGTATAATACGATGATCTAATTGTTATCTTGAGTCTATGAAGAGCTTTCACCTTGTAGAGTATTTATAAGAACCCAATTTTCGAGTTATATATGAAGTAGAGCACAAGAATCGCAGTCAAAATCAAGTACGAATCATCTTCCAAATCCGTAAGGTGGCGCCGCCTGCTATTGCCGACACCTTGACTCCCAAGGGCAGGTGCTGAGGCACCGACTTTGCGGTACATCCCCCTTGCTAGGCACTGCAACGCCCAGCCCCCTATTTTGCTCCTTCGATTCTGTCCTTGAAGTTACGGAAACTAGCATTGAAGTTGCACAACTTTTCCTTAGTGATGAGCCACAATCAGTGTTCTAAAATGCGTATTAATGCGCCGTTTAAGCGGGCATAGGCGCGATGCGTGGGCAAAACGCCTTGCATTCGGGCTATGCATGTCAAAATGCAGTCAACGCAAGTGTTGACCACTAAATATAATAAATAAAATAATTTATTAACTTTCCAACTTCCAACCTATCATTTGCCAGGCTCAGGAAGTATGTGAAGGACTCGTTGGCCCATTTATTTATAGGCATAATGTCCTATGCTTCATCTTCCAACTTCCGATGTGGGATCAACTATGGCTGTGTTACTGTGCAAACAAAGGCTTCTTGAGTTTCCAACCTTTTTCTGAAGCAGAGTCACCCTTTTTCTTGCATTCGAAAAAGGCGTTCTGCAAATTGATTCCCATAAATTCCCTTATATCTCAGAAATTGATTCCCAGAAATTGCGGATGATGGGCTCGAGATCGCGAAGCTTGGGATTTCGCAAGAGATTGTCTCCACTTTGGGTAACCATTAACACCTCTACTTTCTCTTGATGATAACCTATGCTTATTGTAATTCTGTGAAGTGTTCTAGCAACTGATCTCGAGCTAAAAGCTTTTCACCGCCGACATTTTGCTATTGTCTTATATGTGGGTTTGATGATAATCTTCAAGTGAGTATGATTTTTGCATTTCAGTCGAGGGCTTGTGAGTTTTTGCAGAAAAAAATTGCGTTAATTGCAACTCTTGGAGTAATATTTATCATTTGTTTTGTTTTGTTTTGTTTTGTTTTCTGTTGGAGTTAGGTTGGGTACTGCGAGCTGAGTAGAGGTGATTCATCCTTTGAGTCCTCATATCAAAGTTGAAACCCTTATTACTTGTAATTGCAATGGACTTGAATAAATATGACATTTGAATTTACCAACTGAGGATATTTATTTTCAACTTTTGTCACTGACATTTGATCCTTTGGGTTATAATTCAATGTAGCTGTGTGATTAGCGCTTGGTCATTTAATTTAGCCATGAGTCAGTAATTCGGGATTTCGTTTTTGCCATGGATGATTTGATCAAAATTCAAACGCTGCTTCAAATTGAGAAAAGGATATGGATGTTCTTGGTGGGTTTGGTGGCTTTAACCCATTTATTCTGCCAGTCTTTAATGCTTCCTTATGGCAATTCCCTTATGTCGCTATTGCCCAGTGGGGAGAAGGCCAGCAAATCATCCAATGAATCTTCTTTCAAGACTGTGATGCCTAAAAATGCTCTAAACATTGGTATCTTGAATTCAAATAATGCATCTCTATTAGTAAGTGGAGTGAAAAATGCAAAGAGTTACCTCTTGGCTACAGATGCAGTGGATAATGGAGGATGAATGGTAAAAGATGAAGAAAGAAGGNATTGTAATTCTGTGAAGTGTTCTAGCAACTGATCTCTAGCTAAAAGCTTTTCACCGCCGACATTTTGCTACAGTCTTATATGTGGGTTTGATGATAATCTTCAAGTGAGTATGATTTTTGCATTTCAGTCGAGGGGTTGTGAGTTTTTGCAGAAAAAATTGCGTTAATTGCAACTTTTGGAGAAATATTTATCATTTGTTTTTTTTTGTTTTCTGTTGGAGTTGGGTTGGGGGTACTGGGAGCTGAGTAGAGGTGATTCATCCTTTGAGTTCTCATATCAAATTGGAAACCCTTATTACTTGTAATTGCAATGGACTTGAATAAGTATGACATTTGAATTTACCAATTGAGGATATTTATTTTCAACTTTTGTCACTGACATTTGATCCTTTGGGTTATAATTCAATGTAGCTGTGTGATTGGCACTTGGTCATTTAATTTAGCCATGAGTCAGTAAATCGGGATTTCGTTTTTGCCATGGATAATTTGATCAAAATTCAAACGCTGCTTCAAATTGAGAAAAGGAAATGGATGTTCTTGGTGGGTTTGGTGGCTTTAACCCATTTATTCTGCCAGTCTTTGATGCTTCCTTATGGCAATTCCTTTATGTCGCTATTGCCCGGTGGGGAGAAGGCCAGCAAATCATCCAATCAATCTTCTGTCAAGACTGTGATGCCTGAAAATGCTCTAAACATTGGTATCTTGAATTCAAATAATGCATCTCTATTAGTAAGTGGAGTGAAAAATGCAAAGAGTTACCTCTCGGCTACAGATGCAGTGGATAATGGAGGATCAATGGTAAAAGATGAAGAAAGAAGGATTAATATTGCCTCAGATAGTGAGGCCATGGATAATGATTTTGATTTTGATTTTGTTGAGGATGAAACATTAGATAATGATAATCCATTTCAAGTAAATCCAGATACGGAGGAGGGGTTCAAGGTGCAACATGATGAAACCCAAGAACATGGTTCTAAGGAAAATATCTTCACAGAATTACAATAAGCATAGGTTATCATCAAGAGAAAGTAGGTTATCAATGGTTAAAAAATCTATTTTTTTATATAAAAAATATATTTAATATCTTAAAAATAATTAAAATAATACTAAAAATACGAAACGCATTATGACGCTTATTATTCGCATTGACACGCCTAAACTTGTAATTCTTGATTCTCGACCTCGACGTCTCGCAACGCATGATTATTGTCGATTGGAATTGGTTGACTAGTTGGATTTTGAGGACCATCTTTTGCTCTCTTTTTTATGTCGTTTCATTATTTTAGCTTTGAATTTAAAATGATTTATTTTTTATCATAATGTCATTTTTGTTATTGTTGAATTGTATTTAAATTGATTTCTATTCTATATCTTTCAAAATTTTAAATGAAATATTACAATTTACAATTATATATTTTTTAAGTTTAAATATCAACCATATAATATATAAGAGTATATTCAAGAAACTCATTTTAAAGAGTCAATTCTTAAAATTATACTTCAAGATACTCTTTAAATTAATATTTTAATTTGGAGATTGAGTTTGAGTTTCCAAATTTGGAGAACTTAACCCAATCTCTATAAATAAATACATTAAAAGTATTTTAATTTCAATGAAGAAAAATAATATAATAATTTGGAGGAAAGCTAGTGAAAAAATAATTTTTTTTGGAAGTAGTAAAATTAAGTTTTAAAGTTGGGGTACTAAAAAATTTTTAACCTCTAAATTGTAGAATACGCTCTTTAAATTTAGAGTCTCTTGGAGATCCTCTAAGCCTCATTTGGGAAGAATTTTTAAGCGCTTTAGTTTATAAATAGATAAAAATGAATGATAGATAAGTATATGAGTAATGTTATCCATCACCACTAATGTTAAGCACCCGTTTAGGTGGCAATTACATGATATTAAATGATATATTTATTTAAATGTAATGCCACATGCATATAAAGTGTAGCTAACTAAACGATGATCTAACATCACAAATATTAGATAACATTATTCTAAGTAAATACTACTTGTGGATCCGTTCGAATGCGTGATTGAAAATGTAGGCTGACCATTTATAAGTAATTTATAAATTTGGCCAAATAGAGGCTAATTTCTTATATATAATTTTTTTTTTTAAATTGAAATTTAAAAGACATATAAATGTACCATCGTCCAAAATTTGAATTTTGTTAGCTGTATTTTCGTATCCTCTATTTTAGAAGAAAATGATCCTATTCCTAAATATGTACTCGATTCGAATTTAAGCATCACATCAAAGAGATCAACGCTAAAGAATCCGAAAGAAAAAGGCTAAGGTAATTTATTATTGTCCTATTGAAATATGTAATTATTCATCTTATTTATGAAGTTATGCGGTTTACATCTATAGCAAAGGGAGAAGGCATCAAGTTTCACTGTCTTCTGTAATTTAAAAACTAATACGTTTTAGTACATTAACATCATCATTGTTACTAACAATTTTAATGCAATTTAAGAATTATCATAGGCGTCAAAATCACTACAATCTAAAGCAATACAGCTAGTATAAAAGAAAACGGGTGTAAACGTGTTTAGTGTTTAGCGTATGAAAGTTAGAACTATATTGTGTGGCAAATGCGTTGCTCACATGTGGGCAATTTGGGCTGTTTCACTGTCCACCAATGTCACGAAATATAACAAAGTGTTTGAATGAAAAAAAGGATTTAAATTTCTAGGCAATAAGGATAGTAGCTGTTTAGAAATTTGGAGGCTTACGTTTTATAATTAATGAATAGAATAAGACCAACATGCCAATGAAAAGCTAAAAGCCACAAAGAGGACACTACACCATAGTCGCCAATCAATGATCAATGATTTTGAAGGAACTAGATGTATATTTTATAATTTCCTTTTGTCAACTTTTAAGTCGCCGATCATGTGTATTAATGATAATACTCAAACAACTACCATTTACCAGAGGACATTATCTAAAATATACTAGGAAATATAGTTGGCTTTCTTTAATTGCCTTGTAATAAAATCAATATTAAGTTAAGAGAAACAGGAGACATAGGTTGATCAAACATGAGAACTTAGCAGGGAATAACATATCTAGGAAATATTTTACAGAGATTACTCAAACATGCAAAACTTGGAATTCGCAATTGAAATGCCTCCATCAACAAAAAGGTTGTGTCCATTCACAAACTTTGACTCATCACTTGCCAAGAAGACAACAGCATCAGCCACATCCTCTGGCTTAAGAAAAGCACCTTTGAGGATGGAATATACACTACCGAATTCCTCATCGTCCATTTTGTAGAATTCCTTTGATTGACGTGTAGGAACTACGTGTGGTGACACGCAGTTTACACGAATGCCATACTTTCCGAGCTCCACAGCCATGTTCTTTGTGAGTCCTACCACCCCATGTTTTGAACTTACATAATTGTGTGAAGAACCACCGCCTATTTTCGAACAAGTACTAGCTGTTGTGATAATGTTCCCACTGCGATTTGGGATCATTACACGGGCAGCGTGTTTGGCACCCAAGAATGCACCCACGAGGTTTACATTAATAATCTTTTCGAACTCTGATTTTTCTATTTCAAGAATGCTTGGATTTGCTTTCCCTCCTATACCAGCATTATTGTGCAGTATATCTAATTTCCCGAATTTGGCAACTGCTGTGTTAACTGCAGTTTCTACATCGGATTCATTAGTTATATCACAGTGGACAAAAGAGGCTGATGATTGTCCCAATTCCTTGCATACCTTCTCTCCCAATTCATCATTGATGTCTGCAATCATAACTTTAGCTCCATGTTTGGTGAACAGTCTGGCCGTAGACTCGCCGATTCCATTAGCAGCACCGGTGATTAGTGCTACCTTGCCTTGAAGCCTAGGTTCATATATTTTGTTAGTACAATATTCAAAACATACTTGTGTGACAATTGCCAACCCAACTATCAAAATAACCCGCCCTTGTACTTTGAGAAAAAAGTTTAATTTGTTTAGAAGTAAATGCCTCAAGAATTGAATAAGGTTGCGTTTGATTGTGAACATGGAATTTATTTCGAAAGAAAATAAATTATTTCTATAAAAATTATTAATTAAATATGTTTGATTGATTTAGTTTTCAACCAAGAAAATATTATACTTGTCCATTTTTTATTGGTAGGCACATGAGAGAGAGAATTACCTGAAAATAAAAATCATCTCCCCTAGAGAATATTTTCCTTGTTTTCAAGGAAAATATGATCACGTGACCAAAAGTAGAAAAACATTTTCCGTCAAAAAAATTGTCAATCAAACAGCACAAAAGAAGGAAACTAGGTGGAAAAAATACATTTTTCGTGAAAAATATTGACAATCAAAAGCACCCTAATGGTTACAATTTTTTATCAGCACAAAAGTAGGAAACTAGATGGAAAAAACACATTTTCCGTGGAAAATATTGACAATCAAATGCACCCTGATGGTTACAATTTTTTATCAGAAAGCAGTATATATGAACAATTAAAGAGTTATACCTTCTAACGAAAGTCGAAGCCATTAATGAAATTTCCACAGTTCAAGTATACTGTGGACTTGTTTGCTGTGAATGTGAATTGGTAATTCTCTGCACTTTGAAACGTATTTATAGTGCAAGGACTGCTAATCATGAAGAGGATCGATAAAGACACAAACATTCATATATCTAAATCCATTTTCCAGCTATTTGTGATGTGTTTCCACATCGTTTTTTGTAATTTTGTAATCACTAGGTTTGACTCGTAATTCTTTTTGGGCAATGTCCCTATCATTGCCACTTGCTTGTCAAAATCACTACAATCTAATGTAATACAGCTAGTATATAAGATGACAAAAAGCACTTGGTTTTGATAGTTAAAATTTTGAAGGATCAAGGCATGAATTCTCATTATAGAGAAATAACTTGTTTCCATTAGATTAACCAATTATAAAAATTGAGGTCGACAAATTTCATATTTCGTTCACAAGGAAACGTAGAATGTAGACGACACTGTAGTATGTGATATGATGTCATGCTTTTCAAGAACTGCAACAACTAATGAAAGTATGTGACAAAGTTATATTACAACAAAAGAACTAACAAAATTAAACGCGAGTACTTTCTAAATGTCATACAAAGACACGAGAACAGTTATCCTCGCTTTGACACTTTCTTTTCTTTTCGACTTTTACTGCTACTTATGAGACTCCCTTGGACTCAAATCTGTATCACTCACTATTTGTTGCCTCCGGCGTGATAATCAGTATTAACAACAGGAAAACAAGAAGCACTGGCCGTGACATGATTATTGTCTCCTCTCACAAAACCTGCTCCAAAACAGTTTTGTGCCAGTAGATTATTGATTAGGTAAACAATATGTTTGTGTGTCGTATATATTAGGGCTGACTAACGCGATCGTCAAATCGAATCGAAATCCCATTTTTCAAACTGTTGGTTTGGATACACATGGATCCGTCAACATTTTAATTTTGAATTGAACCACGCTGCTTCGAAGTGATTTGGTTTAGATTTCTATTTTTGTAAATCGTTTCAAACTGCTAAACCATTTTAAAAAATTTTAAAAAAAATTAATTTAGATTTTATCCAGAACAAGTAAAACTAAACATAGCCATCACAATTGAGTAGATAATTAAATCTAGATTTTACTCAAAAACCTGGAATAGAAAATATGAAGTATTAAATTGGGGTGCGACCCTTTCGTTTTATTGAGGTTTTACGTATAACATTACATTCACAGAAAGTTTCAGAATGCAGTATGAAGAATTAAAGTGTTTTATCTTGTAACAAAAGTAGAAACCATTGATGAACTTCCCACATTTCAAGACTTACCGTGAACCTCTTTTGCTATGTATTGATTGGCATTTTCACTGCACTTCGAAACATCTTTTACACTACCAGGAGTGGGAAGTATCAAGTCCGAAACAGTAATATATTGCTATGTATAGTGAAAATGTGAAAGATGATTAGTTTTTAATTAAACAATTTTCAAAAAAGTTATTATTTCAAAATTTATTTTTCAAAAAAAATAATAAAAAATCATTTTAATGGTTATCAGCAAATGTGCACTTTATTTTAATTTATTTAACTCAAAAGTGCTAATAAAATCTCGGTCAGACGTCTTGTCTACACTGTTGACCGACAGGTGACTCATTATGATAAAGACAAGCAATTTCATGTCGGCCGTTACCCGTAAAACCTATCATTTCCAGCTAATCTGATTTTCCTGAGAGTGTCGTGTTGTTATTTGTAATCTTCTGTTCACTAGGTCTAATTCAATTTGATGATCACCTGTTTGAGCTTGATTTTTAGATCAAAATGTATTTTAAAATAGTATTTTGTTGAGAAATGTATGATTGAAAATAAGAAAAAATGAATAAAAAAGAAGAAAAAAGTTTTTAGTTTGAGTGTAAAATTATTTTATAAAAAAATATGTAATCGAAAATAAATTTTAGAATGAAGGTCAAACATAGACGTAATGTTCTCATTATTAGGAACACAGTCACACACTTGTGTCTACAATAGTTGTCCAATTTTGGTTGTACGTGCTTGTCCTACACATTAAGTACAGCGTAAAGAACATGAAGAAATCAAATGGAAGTTTGTCATCTAGGAAAGAAAGGGGGAAAAAATCAAGAAAAAAGGGATGTGCATACGACAGGAACTTTGAAGGAAAAGAGAAAAAAATATAGGGAGAAAAAGAAAAAGTTTGTGCCTCTTGAATATTATAATTTGAATAATGCAAAAAATTTCCGAGTTTTGTGGTGACAAAGATACCATTTTTATATTATTCTAAACTCCCGTTTTTTATGGTCATTATTTTGAAAAAAATAATATTTTAAATAGTGATTTTATGAAAAAGGCGTGATTAAAAAGTAGGAAAATGTTTCGAATTTATGTACAAAATATTTTATTGCTTAAATGTATGATTGGAAATTAATATGAAAATAAAAGAACTTTTGGTTTAAACGTAGACAAACGAAGGATAAATAATAAATTAAATTGCTCCGACAGAGTGATGGCAATGGACTAAGTCGAGCCAACTCGGCCTACGAGCTTGATTTTTTTTTTTTTTAAATTTTTTTTAAGCTACTAGCGATGTTTGGTCACCTTTTTGACGAGCCCACGAGCCTCTTGTGAGCTCGACGAGTCGAGCCTTGCTCAGCTCATCTTACGAGTCCCCCGCTCGGTGACCTTTGACAATCACTCAACTTCGCCACACGTACCTCCACTTAGAGGTGTCAATTCAGATGGTCCGGACAGGGTCGGCCCGCCAACATATGAGCCCGATAACGGCCCGTATAAAAAAAAACCCACCTGCAAAGGGTTCCGTGCCGGTTCCGAGTCGGCCCACAAATTTTGGACTTCAACCCGGCCCGCTCACTGACCTATCCGGGTCGAGCCCATCCTTTTCTTTATTCATTGACAGTTCACTGCGATATGTGTGAATGAATGAAAGTTGCACCTCATAAAAAATATAACAAAATTTACTCTATATGCATTGATTCATTTATCTTTATCTTGTGTTCTTTTATTTAGGCGATTTGACACAAACTGTTGACAGTCAATAAATCAGATACAGAACTTGTGTTAAGAACCAACTCTTATCCTGTAGCTTTAGTAAAGGAACACTAAAAAGTTTATGCTAAAATTATACAATTAAAAGTAAACAATTAATGCCAAATTAATACAGTAAAGTTTATAAAAATTGATCAAAGAAACTTTTTATGTAGATTACTCAAACATGCAAAACTTGGGATTGACAATTGTGAAGCCTCCATCAACCAAAAGGTTGTGTCCACTCACATACTTAGACTCATCACTTGCCAAGAAGAGAGCAGCTTCAGCCACGTCCTCTGGCTTAAGAACAACACCTTTGAGGACGGAATATACACCATGGCATCCCTCATCATCCAATTTGAAAAAATCCTTTGCTAGAGGTGTAGCAACTAGGTGTGGCGACACGCAATTTACGCGAATGCCATATTTTCCGAGCTCCACCGCGATATTCCTTGTGAGTCCTACCACCCCGTGTTTTGAACTTGTGTATGCGTGTGAAGAAGAACCTCCTATTTTTGAACAAGTACTGGCAGTCGTGATTATATTCCCACAGAGGTTTGGGATCATTACACGGGCAGCATGTTTAGTGCCCAAGAATGCACCTACGAGATTTACACTAATAATCTTTTCGAATTCTGATTTTTCGATTTCAAGAATGTTTGGATTTGCTACTCCCCCTATACCAGCATTATTGTGCATTATATCCAATTTCCCAAATTTGGCAACAGCTGTGTTAACTGCAGTTTCTACATCGGATTCTTTAGTTACATCACAGTGGACAAAAGAGGCTGATGATTGACCCAATTCTTTGCATACCTTCTCTCCCAAGTCATCTTTGATGTCTGCAATCAGAACTTTAGCTCCATGTTTGCAGAACAATCTGGCAGTCGCCTCGCCAATTCCACTAGCAGCACCGGTGATTATTGCTACCTTGCCTTCCAGCCTAGGTTCACACGTTTTGTTACTAAATATTCGTAACATATATATAATAGTCTACTGGGCAGGACCGAAAACTTTTGTGAAGATTACTCGGTCATGCTGTTATACTTTGAGAAAAAAATTTCAATTTATTAGAAAAATAAGTGCCTCATGATATAATGAATAGTGACAATTTCTAGTTTATTTTTATCAGAATGCAGTATGAACAGTTAAAGATTTATACCTTCTAACAAAAGTCGAAGCCATTGATGAACTTCCCACAGTTTGAGTATATTGTGAACTTATTTGCGGTGAGTTGGTACTTCGCTGCACTTTGAAACATCTTTTATAGTGCAATTCCTGGGAATCTTGAAGTCCTAAACAGTGATATATTGCTATGTACCGTGGAAATGTGATAAACAATATTTCTTTTGTGAATAAAGACACAATTACAATATATTAACAACATAAACGTGAACCTAATTTTATTGGCGTCTACAACAATCCATCTATTTTTCCCTACCTAGGATCAATTATGGAAAAAAAAGCAATGTTGTATCCGCACGAAAGTAGGCATTAAAGCCGTTCTGATTTTTTTGGATGGTGTTACTCATTCCACGTCATCACTAGCAACATTGCCACATTCTTATGTCTACAATAGTTGATCAATTATGGTACGCACTTGTTCCACACATTAAATGCAACATAAATAAAAGGAAGAAATAAGAGAGGAGCAAAGAATAATGCTATTTGCAGTCGTCCTATGTGACATACATGTGGCAGTTGAGATTGGAAATAACGTTACTCGAGGAACAAATCATTGAAAAAGATTGGAAGTTTGTCATCTCGGGGAGAATGGGAAAAATTAAATCAAGAAAAAAAGAAGATACGTACAGGACAGAAACTTCAAAGGAAAAAGAAAAAAGTTAAGTACAAGAAAAATGGATAAAAAAAGGACGTTTGTGCCTTTGGGGATATTATAATTTGAATAACACGAGATTCAACTGTGTTTTTGGGACGACAATATACTTCATTAATATTATTTTGAATAATAACATGCCTTTATACGACAGAGTTTAATTTTGTTGGAAAAGAAAATACCTCAAGATTTCATGAAAAGTCGCATAATTAATTCACAATACAATACCAAAAATTAAAGAGTTGCATTCTTACAAAAGTTGAAGCCATCGATTTAAGTATGTAATATTGTGAACCTCTTTGCTGCTCTCTACAGGCCTTAAAAATTGACCTACTTTCATACTTGTCCCACACATTAAATATAACATAAAGAAGAGGAAAGAAATAAAATCTGTAAAGGAAAGGAAAATTAAAGAGGAACAAAATCATGAAGAATTGAAAGAGAGGTCTAATTTAAATAATATAAGAATTAACTGTGTTTATGTGGTGACAATTTTTTTTATTAAATATTATATTGATTGTTAACATATTAAATCTTTCAACGATTTAAATTATAAATAAAGAAGATTTGCAATCGCCCCCCCGGGTTTGTGTTGTGCCTGGTTGAACATATGCGACACTACCCTTAGGGGAAGTGACTTAATTTGGACTCTGGCCAGTGATCCAAAAAAATTTGGGACACGTCCTAGCCACAAAGTCTTGGTGAAGAATTGGGAAACCGTCGGTGGAAGATACGGAATGAAGCCATGGCCATGAAAGGGGCTGTCCCTATCAAAGACGTTGGATTACTGGGTTCAAGAAAAGCAATGTGACTCATAACGGCTTGTAATAGTCATCTGACTGATTTTAGTTCGGAACCAAATGCTGCCATTTTATCTGATATTTTAGCTATGTATCACTACTGTTAATTTTGGGTGCTCCAATATAGAATTTCCCGGGCTCAGTTTCTCCAAACAACACCACAATAGACAACCTAAATCTCAAACCTCAAAACACCCAAGAAAACAGGTTGCTTCAACTATAAAAGTCAGCCCACAAAGGACTCGGTGTGAAGAAGAAGGTAGCCTCAATGTTCAGCCTCCAAGGCTAGAGAATGAGGGAGAAAATGGATCACCAAAGAAAAGGCACAAAGCCAATGCACGTGAATAGGTTTTCTATTCTCAATGAAACGGCTTCCCTCAATTTCACACACATACCAACAGTAATGGGCAAGGGGTTAAATAGGTGAACTTTAGGTTTGGGCCTTATGTCAAATGATAGGGCCCAATATGAAAAGGTATAAGTGGGCTAACAAAGGTAAAGCCATCCAAGGTCTTTGGGTCGGGTCATGAGCAACCCTAATTAAATTAGGCTACTTCAAATGGCCCAAATAGGTTGTGGGTTTGGTTCAAACTATTGCGGTGTCGATATTTCACTTCACTCATCGACCGAGGTGTATGAAGTATAATCAGTTACGGACCCAACACCCGGTCGAGGGGCGGCCGCCTGTGCTAGGCTCCGTCGAAAGAATTTTTGGGAAGAAGATGGCGGGTGGCTCGGCGCTAGTTGATTGGTTCGTCTTCTCCGATTTCTTTCTTTTCTGGCTTTCTGCTGCTGGGGTGGGTTCTTTCCTTTTTTTTTTTGTTATAATATTAGGTTGGGCCATTTGTTATAAACTTGATTTTGTTTTTATTAGGCTGGGCCATTTGTTCTTGGGAAATTATATAAATCCAGGGGTTTGAAGATTGGAATTCAAAAATCAGGGACCAAGTTTCATTATTCAAAAATGAGGTAATATATAAAAGCCATAACCATAATTTTTCACTTACTCCCTCCCTCCCCCCTCTCTCTCACTCTCGCCTCATCTCCCTCCCCTCTCCTTCCCTCTCTTTGAATGGACTGTGATGCTGCTATAATGGAAGGAGCTCGAATCGTCGCGAGTTGGGGCGGTAGCGTGACGCGGCAGAAGCTTCAACCACCCTCAATCCATTTTCGTCGGCCACAATGAACTCGAATCGCCGAGAGTTGCGACGGTATTTGGTGGTGTCTCTCTGTTGGTGGCGGTGTATTTAAGATTTTAGATGAAGACTGAGGGGTTCAATAGTCTCTCCGTTGGTGGCGGTGTATTTGGTGGTGTTGGTGCGATCAGTATCAAGAAAATACTTTGCTATCGAAACTATGAACCTTTCTGTTATAGTATATTTGGTGGAGATGGTGGCAGCATGGTGAGGGTGGCGGGTTTGTTGGTACTGTTGCAGCGATAGCAGCGTAGTGAAGGTGGTCGAAAGTAGCCATAGTGGCAGTGGTGGTAGTCTGTGACCAAATGTTTGGTAATCTGTAACCAAATATTTGGTAATATCTGTGACCAATTACTCAACTGTAACATAAAGATTTAATAATACGTGACTCAAAAATAATCTGTGACCAACTAATTTAAAAATCTGTGACTTCAAAATAATTTGTGACGTACAAAATTTTTGATATGTAACCTCGAAATAAGCTGGGATCAATTAATTTTAAAATATGTGACTTGTAACCTATAATTATGTATATGTGACCATTAATTATATAACTGTAATCTTATTATATTTAATTAAAAATTATTTTTAATTAATGAACTAAAACCTGATTTTTGCATTAATCAAACTTAAAACCCGATTTTTGAATTTTGTAAAGTTAATCCCTTACTTTGAACTCTTCCCCAAATAATATATATATCACAGCCCATCAGGTAGCAAATGAACTTGGTCTCTTGTTTTATTTCGTGATGCTTCAGCTTGATTTGCAGACCTTGGCAGAACTTCAAGTGATGGAGTACTTGTTTGACAAGGAAAAATGAGAATTGAATAAGGGTATTCTACTTTTTCAATGCTTATATATACTAATTCACGTATAAAATTTCTAATTTCATCACCTAAAATGGCACAGGGTATTGTGGCATTACGCACAAATATGGAGAAACAGAAGGTTACAAATGATAGTTTTGAAAGGAGGTATAACTATCCTCCAATAGCATTTCATTAATGAAACTGTTTTTTAGGCTACAAAGTTGTGCTTAATATAATTCGAAGGTCTAAATTTAGTCTATATCAGTTTGCTTTTCTTATTGAAATTAATGTTGACCATCTATTACATCTATTCTCCTTTATATGCCAAATACGAGGTTAAATATAGGTCTCTGTCTGATTTTATGATGTGAAACTATCATAATAAAAGTAGATGTATTTCAGCTGAACGAGTTCGTTGATTTATATTGCATATTTCTTTAGTATTTTGAGCTGTATTGAAGTACGTTCTCATATATATAATCTTTACGTTTTAGCGTG